TGGCAAACACGGCCTTGAAGTAAGTTTCTGCAGACCTAGATGCAGAATACGAAAACAGATAAATACACCACAGTCTCTGATGGTAACGTGGAATTAGACGGAGACGACAAGTCTGTTCTGCGTTCGCTTCAACTGGACCCGGGCCCGTACGACTTGCAAAGCTGCATCTCGTCCCTCACCTTTTTCAACTGCTCTCGAGGCCGTCAACGTCAAGGTGAGAATCGAAAGAAAACTTCATTGGCATGTCGGTGTGGCTTACATCGGCCTCAAAGACCGAAACCTTTCTATGCCCTTTTCCCTGGCTGGCACCTCAGACAGCCAGGAGAAATGAGCCTTTAGTTGCCATCACCTCCCCGCATCCTCTCACTCGATCTCAGCAGCAGCCGCTGGACTTCTTCTTCTTGCCCTTCTTGCTCTTCTTCGTAGGGGCGGCGGCCTTGGGCAAGGCAGAGCTGGCTGCGGTGCCGGTCATCACAAAGCTCTCGCGAGCCATGTCCGTCATGTCGTGGGTTGCCTCCAATGTAATGTTTCCAACTTGAAACTGCCACGACAAACCTCATAAACTGCTAATTACCGAACTCAAGACATTCACGTGAAACATGTAAGCCGTGTAAGCTTTGACGACGAAGCTGCCTGGGGTGCCGAGTGACCCTCCGGGTGGGAGGTGACCACGAAGCCGGGGGGAAGCGCCTCGCCGGGTGCGAACCATTTGCCTTTGGTATGGTCCAAGCCGCTGTAGACAGGCGGCGAGTAAGCTGGCATGCTTGGCATGGTGTAGGCTCCCGCCGAGATCGTGTAGGGCGACGAGGCGTAGGTCACCGGCACGCCGGCATCTTGCTGCTGGTAGGTGTAAGCCGGCATCGGCTCGGTCGTGTAGGCCGGCATGGTCGTGTACATGGGTTCTGCCGGGGCCGCCATAGTTACGCAATGAGCGATGGATGATGCACTGCGGGCCAAGACAGCTGCAGCTTGCTACGCTTGCTACATGTGGCTGGCAAAACTCGGTGCTCTCAGAAAGACCATCTGCAAACCTGTGCAGCTCATAAAATGTTATCCAAGCTGCCCAGCACAGTCCGGGCACTGCCGCCGTTGCGCAGTCGCAGCTTTTGTGCGAGGTTCAGCCGGGCCGAGCCGAAAAAGACAGTGTGACTCAGTATGAACAACACTTCCGTCCAGGACGTCTCCCAGTTCCATGTGGTTCTCACTGCAGGTTTGCCTTTCGTACTAGTATACCGTCAATAAGGCCTGGCTAGATGGGGACGAATCGTTGCCGTGCTCCAACACAGGGTTCCTGTCCAGTCGGCGAAGCTCCTCCAGAAAAGAGTATGTCTGCAGCAGCCACTGCAGCTTCTGCAAGGGTCTATCTTTGCAGCCGCATGTAAGGACTCCGAATTCCCAAACAGATTTACGAGAAGGCCGGAGCTCTTAACCGAAGCTTGGCGAGAATGAATGGCCCATCTCCCCACGGGATCGCACAGGAGAGCGGGCGAATTCGTCACGATCGGGAATATGGGGGATGCGGGTAGTGAGCTTTACTTTGTCGGGCTTGGGCTTACGAAAGGGCCAAAGGACGTCCTTCTCCAGGAGCTCTTGGCAAATACATGCGTGCATGCGCTCGCGCAGAATAAACATAACAACCCACTCACTGACCCCACCCACCCACCCACACATCGGCATCAGTAGCACCAAGAACTATGTTCTCCGAAGATACGATCAGACACCAACCGATCGCAGTATCTGGTATGACACAATCACAGCAGTCGGAAGCAGGTACGTTTGAACGCAAAGTAGAGACATTTTCCGGAAAGCGGATCTAACACGCATAAAACGCTGCTACCGGCGTTGACAGGCTTCTGGAAATCGGCTCTTTGCTGCTGCACCAACAGACGTGCTCCCCCCTGAACCAGGCCTAAACCACAGTCTAAACCTTCTACATTTTATGAACATGTATGTCTATGTGGTCTATGTACATGTATTCATCGATCTTGGACTATGCAGACTTCGGATGGAGCAGGTAGATTCACGAGTCTCCGATTTTGGGCTTCTGGTGTCCGGGCTGGGGCATTTTGCCAGGGTTCAGGGTTGAGGAAGCATGTTACTGTGGCAAACACGGCCTTGAAGTAAGTT